TGAAGAAGCAGCAGAGACATCCCTACTCTGCTGTACCAATCTCACAGCACTCTAAGGAGCTGCACAGGACAGTAAAGCCAGAAACCAGGAATGGGCATATAGGCAAGGGCCTGGAATTGCCATGTTCCTGTTGCTGCTGTCTATCATTAGGAAAACCCTTCCCCATGTCTACATCTCAGCATCCTCATCCGAAGTATGGGGACAGTCCCATCAAGAAATCATGGGATCATCAGAGGTCACTCAGGGATGTGTGGAACAGAGAAGTTCCAACTTAAATGTTTTTATTCAAACCAGAGCCACGCCTGACTATTTTATTTTCTCTGTCCCCTTGTAATGTATTCTATGAAAGCAGACTAGTTTTTCTCCACTACTCTCATCACCAAAGCCAGTGCTCATCATAGTAAAAATTTTAAAAGGAAGGGAGGGAAGGAAGGAAGAGGGAGAAAGGAAGGAGTGAATGAAGGAGAGGAGGACTGTAATTACAGTAGTCATGGATGTTTTGCCTGTTTGATGGAACTTTGCAATTACCAAATGAATCAGTTGCAGACATGTATAAAATTGATTCGGAGTAGGTGAGAAATCAAAGGAACTGAAATTTGTGATGAAGTTTTAATGCTCTTAAATTATTTTCAACATTTCTTTAATAAAATATGTGATGACAAATTTCCCTGTCATGATGTCAAAAATCACACCATATATTAAAAAGGATCTGGGGACCAAGATGTTCAGATTAGCATCTGGTTTGCAGTCTCGGGATCCCTAGTCACAGGAGGAACTACCTATAAGACTCTGGATCTCTGAGATCATGGGGGGGGCAGAGTTTTCCTCACCTGAACCTTAGGGTGGGTTCTAAGTGTGTGGTCTAAATTCTACGACATTATGGCATTCCGATACGGTGCCATCAGGATCTGCACTCTGGTCACACTCACTAACTTGCATCAAAGTTTCATGCTCCACAGGTGAGGAGGTGAGAAGGATCACTTCCGGGAGGGCAGGAGAGCCAAAGCCGAGACAGCACTGTTTCCCTCTCAACTCCTGTGTTCCTTTTAGCCCTATCCTCAGCATCACCTTTATCCACTGTGTCCTAAAGGAGTCCCCTTTTCCATCAATCCAAGAAAAATTCCCTCCCCCCCCCCGATTCCTCGTTCCTGTTGTGCCCTCTGAACCCACGCACACACACATCCCTCTGCACGGATCACGCAGCTGACGTAGAATACTGTTTTCCTGCCCCCCCCGCTTTCATCTAACTCTGCAGGGCTTGCAGGTCACTGTACCAAAGTCATCGCCGCTCCCCTGTTTTCGGAGGTGATGAACCAGTAGACAGCACTCACTCTCTCTTGCTACCGCAGCTCACTGCAAAGGGCACCTGAACTCCCTCCGTGCACTCTCAAGCTCAGCAGAGCACTTTTGCAGAGCTCATCCGGGTCTCTTTATCCTGCATGACGTTCTGAACCGCTGCACCTGCACTGCCTGGGTGTCCTCTCCTTACAGCGACCGCATGTTTTTAAAGTGCAAAAAAAAACCCTCCTCACCACTTCACTTTTCAAAAGATTTAGTGCGGGTCCTCTAGTCATACAGCAAAGTCATCACATATACAGCAAAATAGTTCTAAGAAACATCCATGTTTTCTTATTCAATATCTTTAACATCTTATACAAGGCACATGGTTCCTATTCTCTGAGTGAGCATGGCAGGAGTGTTCAGTATCAACCTGTTATGCAGCAGCCAACTTTAATCTCCTTTGAATGCCCCCAGAGAGCTATTTGTTGCACAACACTTGACAAATTCTTACACACATAAGAGAATTCCTGTTTTTTCTTCTTTGATCCAACAGGCTACATCAGCCTTATTCCTAAGAGCAAGACAGAAGAAACAGCCTGAGGGACAGCTGTGGTCAGAGAGTGAGAGCTAGAGAAAGCCCTTCTGGGGATGCGGCAACACCTATCCAAGTCACGATGAGCATCTTGGAGCATGCTGGGAGACAGGCAGTTTCTCTTGGAACAAGCAGGTATTCCCAATTTCATTGCCTTATTCTTGTTTCTGACCTTGCTGCCCAATTCCTAGGCTGTCTGAAGCCCCCATACTTAATTGGGTGACTATGCATGCTCTGCATGTCCACATCTGGGTGAGAAATATAGGTTCTGTCTCTCAAGTCTGGTAATAATTGAATGTCTACTGTCTTTGTGCATTAGTGTACCAACTCTTGTGAGGCCCATCTTCCAGTGCTCCTGAATCACTGGGCATTAAGTATCATACTCCACCATCATATTATTCATGTGAAGGGCATACCCTCTGTCAGACTCACATAGAGACTCCGGGTGAGCCAGCCCTCCTTTTTCTATGAGTCTGAGCCTATGCAAGTGAGAACAAGTCCCAATCCTAACTGTAACCACAACACTCATGGTTCCTTTAGACATTTTATGCAAGGTGCTTCAGGGCATCTGACATAGAAGATGAACATAATGGGGACATGAACAGGTGTCTTTGAAGAACTCTACTCAAGTATTGAGAGGGTCCTGTAGGCAAGGGACTGGGGCAGGATAACACAGTCAACAGATTCTCTGGTTTGGATGTCAGTGGTGGATGTCAGATCGAAAGGTGATTGTGGTATGACACCACCTTCACGTCAAGCCTGACGGGACTAGGGTTACATGAGAGGCTTCCAAGTAGCTGAAGAAAAGAGTCCCCTCACTGGGAGCACTATGTTAGTATGTCCTCACTCTAGACAGCTCCATTTGCAAGAATTCTTCTAAGCTCAACACCCTATGTCCACATATACATATATATAATTATGGTAAGCAGGCATAGGAAATTTCAACAAGCTTAGCTGGGGTCCCCTTCTCCAAACCATAATAACCTCACTTCTGCTTTTGCCTTAGATGACCTCCTGCACCAAGATTTTCTTTCTCAGCTGAGCATGAAAATTTCCACTGACTTATCTGTTGGCTACCCTCCTTCCTTTTTGAAGTATTTCATACCTACAAGTGAAAAAAATGCACCAATGAAAAAGAATCCATAGAGATTACCTAGAGAGAGAGAAATGGACACAAGCAGTCTTCCTTCAATTATTAACCAGCCACGCAAATGGTTGACGGGGACACAGAAGTAATTAAACACAGCTAACACGTGAGAGGATTGATTTATTCCTTGCTTATAGAATTTCACTTGCAATGCACCATAGCCTACACTTCTGTAAAGCATGTCAGCACCACAATTACATCTGATAAACAACACAGATCCCGCAGTCCCATTTAACCACAGCATTTGTTTCCATTTGCTTAAAAAAACTCAAAGAATTATGAGAACTATATAGTTCTTTCCCTTTCCTGCTTGCCATGGTTGGAGCTAAGCTCATATTTTCTGATCAAACGAAGTCCTTGGTGTAGTAGGGGGTAAAAAATATATATTTGTATGTGTGTGTGTGTGTGTGTATGTGTGTGCCTGTGTGTGTAGTAAGATGTGTGTTTTCATATTTTCTATCCTGATCTATAGGAAGTGTCTTCCTGCCTCAGGGCATATGGGGGCACAGAAAAGCTGCATTCCTAGGCTTATTGGATCTCATTCCTAATTAGATGTACTGTCTGCTGCAAGCAGGGTTTTCCACCTTGCTCAGAAAGGAGGAAAGTGTCTCCCTGCATTGACTCCTAAATGTCCCAGGTGAAGGCAATTCTTTATGCAGATTCCAGTTTCAGAATGAACCATGTGGACACTTCTCTCCTTCTCAAAAATGTATTCAAAGGTGTCATGGGGGTCCACAATCCCTCTGGAAATTCACCTCTCATTGGAAATATCTCCGCAATTCAATTTCATGCCTTCTGTGGCCTCTATCAGTGGCCTGGACGAGTCTATGACACAGACTTTCAGGCATCTCCTGCCATTAAGGCACTACACCTGCAGCATCCAGTGCAGTTCAGACCCAGGCTAATTACACCAGACCAAGCTGGGTTCATTGTCTAGTACAATCAGCTGAAGTGAATGAGAAAGTTTGGAGGAACAGTTCAAGCGTATTCTCCTCTCCATACCCTGTGCCTTTTGCTTCCAGCAAGAACAGAGCCAGGACCACAGGCGTCCGTGGTGACTGGCCACCCCTCGCTTTGGTCTCAGTTTGAGGTGTGGGAGCTCACCAAACTGACCCAACCTCCGGGCTCTGACTTACCTCCTTTTTAAGGTGAGACCTCAGGATGCATGTTAACTACCCCTTGGGACACCTGACTGCAGGGGACTGCCCATATTAACCCTAGCACACCAGTCTGTGCAGACTGAGCTTCCCAGGAAGAGGTCTGGGAGCTAGGATGAAAAAGCTGGAGAAAAGCACAGGAGGCTGTTATGAGAAGGTGACAGCAGTGTGTCCAGTAACAAAGTCATTTGGGGACATCAGGAAATATCCTATTTTGCTGAGACTTGCCTGCCCCACAAGGAAGTCCCAACCTCACCTTCTCCTGTGTGCACGTGCCTTCTCAGAAACCATTAGTTCTGCCATTACTAACCATAGATGGTGTTCCTCTTATGGCCTGATGTGACAGTTAATGCCATGATGGCCATGTGCCCTGGTTCCAAGCAGCAGATTTTCACTTCCCTTCTGGGTCACTCTTCAGCATGCCTGGAGTTCTACAATGGGTATCTTACTTTCATGCCCACAGCCTCTTTCCTGATACCAGTGGACACTGCAGGGTCTCACCCTACATTTAAGTCTCCCCAGCTTTAAATCAACTGGAAGGGATTCATTGTTCAGTCTTGCAGTAGTAAGTGCTCTCTGTGTGGTAACTGGAGACATCACACAAGAAATAGTCTTTCATGAGTTGATAAGATCAGGGGAAATGGAAAGGTAAACCAGCTTGTATCAGGGGACCAGACACACCCTCCAAAACAACACATAGCTATAGCAGTGAAGAGCAGCTTAAAGAATGCACCCAAAATGAGGGTGTGCTAATTTCTAACACTTGAAAAGCCGTTTTCTTATAGTAGTCAGTGTTCATGCCCGTCACTGGGAGCAGTCTTACCTGCTTGGTCTTTGAATATTTTCGATATGACGACAGGGACCCCATGCTCTGCTCCTCCCTAGAAGGCAGAGACACGAGAAGGAAACAGCTATCATGACTGACACTGAAGACGTTGGGGCCTGAAGGGCAGGGGTGGCAAGAAAATAAGCTCATACCTTGATACTCAGGCCCAGGCCACCCACAGGTTGTCTGCGAAGTGTAACAGTTCTGTGCTTTAAAAAATGTTAGGGAAAAAATAAGTTTAGGTTACAATGCATTATCAGAGAATGAACAAAAGAATGTACATGTAACTTGCTCATCAAAACTTAAGTGATTTTTAAAATAAAACTTCCAGTTTGGCACTCTATAACCTCTGCAGTAGAGGTACCATGGCCAACCTTCAACCAGTGGTCTTCTTACAGGTAAACAAGGTTGCTGGTAAAATCAGGTCTTGTTGAAGGCATCACTGGAAATTCACACAAAATTGCTATAGAGCTGATTAGCTTGTTGTTTCAACCTCACATTGCTCTGACAACAGAGCTCCATTTGGACAATGCCCATGACCACTCTCAAAGTGGAGAACTTGGCTCCTTTTAAATGTGCTTTCCTCCCACCAGCCCCAGAAGGAAGATCCTCAGCACACATCACTGCAATTTCCGTGTGTAGTCCAACTGTGGTCACCAGTATGTATTCCCAAGAATCAGGTTTTTCATTTTTTCATACTCCAAACACAGATGGCTAATAACATTTAAATCAACATGGCAATAGAAGTTAAACATATAATACACCTATCAATTGGCAATACTCAAAGTTTTGTCTCCCACATATGAAATCATGGTCCATGGTCTTTCATCTTGCTGTGGTCTAAACTGATGGAAACATTTCACACAGCTGCATGTAGGTGTGGGACAAATCATGCAGGAAGCATGCTAGAAAGGACAGGGGAGATGGCTGGGGCATAATAATACATAGAGAAGGTATTTCTTTTCCTTCAAAAATACAATAGGAACCACAAACATCATACTTTAACTGAAAAGTAACGACATTCAAACTGAAGGGCTCCAAAGCATCAATGTTTGAAAAGCAATGATAGAGGCCAAGGAATATGACAGGACACCTGGAAACCCTGCTTCACCCTGAGGCTTGGGTACCAAAACAGCACAGATAGAAACAGGAGGCTGGTAGGAAAAGCTGCTGTGGCCCTTGGCATGTGTGATGTCTTCCACAGACTGCCGTGTCAACCTGTCAATATACTCATAGGAGGGAGTATGTTGGTTATAAGATGGCTAGGTTCTAACTGGATGTGATGGCATATGTCAGTGCTTCTAAGAGAGCTTCCCAGAACAGCAGGACACAGAAGTATGAACCCATCACTCACCAACAAAATTGATGCCTTAAATACATATATACTCAGAATAAGAAACAAAAAAAGAGCAAATAAACGCACTTCACAGAATCCATGAGTGAATTCCCCAAATAGCATTGTAACTGGAAGCATTATATCTTGTGCATACTTCAAAGGTCTATGAACCCTTTATAAGAGCACACACAAGGAAAAGGCTGCAATTTAGAGACCTTCCTGTAAGAACACTCGTTTTCATTTTCCTCATCTAAGCCACATTCAAGTGCACCTGGCTCTCATGGCAGATACATTGTCAGGACTTATCTGAGGGGCCCAGAGTGTGGTCATTTACACTGCAGCAAGAGAGAGCAGCAGCACGCAGTTTAAACCACATTTATCACAGCATTAATTACAACATCCAGGATCTCAAAACAAGCTAAGTATCTAAGGATGGATAAATTGATTGAGATTCCACGGTGGAAAACCAGCCAACCGTGAACAGGAGGGGAAGTTATTCATCTTTGACAACATACATGAACTGCAGAGGATTACTAACACGTTGAGACAATTCGGACACAGAAGAAACATACAATGTGATTTCATGTCTGTGGTGGATGCCAGGGTTACAAGGTACAGATGTAGCAACATTGGACAGAGGCAGGTGTGAGGTATATTTATAGATGGGCATGGTGGCACATGTCTGAAATTCTAGTACTAGAAGATAAAAACAGGAGGACCAGGAGTTTATGTTCATCTGCTGGTTACACGGGGGAGTTTGAGGCCAGTCTGGGACACAGGAGGCTGTCTCAATAAAATATAAACAAAAAGGGTTAAGTTCTGGGACTTTAACTACAAGATGAAGATGACAGTCCACAATATTGTACTGTATAGTTGAAGTTTGCCAGTACCACTGAGACCTCCACACACACGCACACAATGTAAATATGCAAGATAATATATATATATATAGATACATGAGTTAGCTTAATTACAGCAATCATTTCTATATGTAAGTCAAATAATCATAAATGTAAATCAAATAATTACACTGTACAGCTTAAATATTTTTCATTTTAATTGTCATTTATATCTTAATAAATTTGATAAAAATTAAATCTGCCATAGGGACAAAGCATCCACTATTGGGAAAGGAGCCTTAGTTAGGGTTTGTATTGTAATAAAACACCATGATCAAATTTAGCTTGGTGTGTAAAGGGTCTATTTTAGCTTGCAGTTCCAATATCACAGTTCATCATCCAGGGACGTCTGGGTAGGGACTCAAGACAGGAATCTAGAGGCACAGATCTAAATACTAGTCTGAAGCTGCACAAACTTTAGTCTGGAAGTTAAGAATTGAGGGCTACAGTGGGTAAAAGATATTCCACAGGAACTTGAAGAATAATACTATAGGAAAGTTGCATCTAGCACTTAATGAAAAGATACATAAAGGGTAAGAATTATCTGTCAAGGAAGACAGCTGTCTTCACGTATTTATAGTCAGAAGGAAGTGTGGGGAGAGCCAAGTACAGTTGAAGTGAGACTACTGCCAAGGTATGAGTACCAGCTGATCCCTAGGAGAGTGTGCTGGGCTGAATCCTAGATGCAGTCTCTCCTAAAAGTCATTTTATAGCACATTGTGGGAGGGGAATGAAGCAAACTTTGAGAACTCAATGAATTACCCTACAGAGCACATCCACTTCCCAGAAGGAAAGTTTCATCACATGTCATCATCAGTTCTGGATCTGTTCCTCTGATTAGTGAGTGAGGGCCTGTGCATGGAAAGGGGGTGTTCACTTGTAGGGGAATGTCCACACTACACATGTCCAGAGGGTCAATCACATTACACACCCAACTTCTTATCCAGCTCTAAATGCTATGGCCTTGGCTCTGATGGGTGGTTCTTGACACAACAGATTTTGTCTTGATATTTCTCTTGACCACAATGATGAATTCGCCAGTGGCTTGATCTGTACAACAAGAGCTCTCATAATACAACACCCTCTACATGACTAGATCCACCAGATTTTGATGCATGAGTTGTGTGAAGGACACCATCACTCCAAAACATACACTGGTTAAACCACAGTCAATTCCATGTTGCTGTTGTTCTGGCTTTTTAGATAAAACTCTTACTATGTGCCCCTGACTAGCTCTGAACTTGGTATGTAGACCAGGCTAGGCTCAAACTCACAGAGATATATGAGTGTCTCTGCCTCCTGGGTGCTGGGATTAAAGATGTGTGATATCACTTTTTGTATTCAGTTCCTAGTCAGAGGTGTCCATACTGAGAAGCATGCAAAGATAAGAAGAAATACCAGGCTTCCAGCCTAAGCCAAATTGAGAGTTCTGGGCTCAGTAAGGAATCCTGTCTCATGAAATAAGAAACAGAGGAGGATTTGATGTCAACCTCTGGCCACCACACATTCATACAAATGACTACACCATACACATTACACATATATACATGCATATACCACACCTCTTCTCCTCCCACCTCTCCCACTCCCCCCTCCAACATTAAAAAAGCAAACTCGGAGAAGAACTACAAAACGAGTATTTAATTGTGTGATGTGGCCAGCCCATACTTAGGGATAAATGAATCACAGCATGCCAGTTTCTCACAGAAATTCCCGAGCAGCGATTTTTTTGAAGGTCTCTTTTGAAGCTCCTGGACCTGGATTGGTTTGAGCCATGCCCTGGAGGCAAGAGCACTTACATTAGCACCAGGAGGTGCTCCCCCGATGCAGACGACATCTTGCTTTTGAATAGTCAGCACCTCTTTTGTCAGCTTCAGCCGGACGTCATAGGCATTTTCCAATGCTTCATCATACAACAAGGCCAGAGCAGTTTTGGTCTGAGGACACAGAGTGGCGATAGGAAAAGTGAGTACAGCCCTCAGCCATGAGAGATGATAGGTGAGTCCTTTCCCACCGCCTTCTAACCTGCGTACACATATTTCTCTCTGTTCATGGCAGAAACTGATTGATTACAGGACTCTTTTGGATGTATATCTCTCTGGGAATCTGGGCTTTTCCTGTGTCCTACATGCTGCTTGGGATTTTCCAGACTTCCTGAGACATGTTTCCACAACCTCATACCAGACATGCTGAGTAACCCTTGTCTCCATTTGGAGCAAGCATTCAGGGTAGCAGGGCTACCTCACCAGCTTTATAGATGGGGAACTGCAAGACACTAAGACTCTCTTGGGGTCAACACCCGGAACAATAAGAACCCAACCCGTCTAACAGCTGCAGCCTATGACACCAGGGGATGTCACCAAGGAGAGTCACATCGGGGAAACTGCCTGAGGAAAGGGCTCATGTTGCGAAGGGCAATCAGGGCTCTCAGATTACATGGAAAGGTGAGGTACCCATTCCCTGCAATGTCAGTATGACCAGCACAGAGTCACATGCGATATTAATTTACAGCAAATTCCTTGAGCCAAGTAGCCTGTGTCAGTGAGTTGTCTTGGTGAGGAAAATCCCTGAACCCATAAACCACAGGGACGGAAACAGCTGGAATTCATTCAGAGGAAAGAATAATTATGTAGGATGAAGGCCCAGGAGATGGTTCTGACCCTTTGACGAGTGAATATGACATTCTAGTTACACATCTTGTGGTGGTGAGTGTCTGTGGCCAGCTTGGCTGGATGGAGAAGTGCCTAGGAGACTACTAAGTGGAGTTTTCCTGAGGGTGTCTCTAGAAAGGACTAAATTAGGCCGTCTCTGAGGTGATCAGTGGTTTAAGCCACTGATAGACCCGGAAGTTGGACTACTGGGGGGTGATGGGACTGTGGAAGGAAGGCCCTCATTGGAAGGTGTACAACTTAAAGGAGTATCTTGCCCTGCCCATTTCCTTTTCTTCTCGGCTTTCTGATACTAGTAGGTCACCCACATGCTGCAGCCTCCAAGATACTGATTCACCCTGGCCTAAAGCAACAGCACTGCCATGGAAACCTCAGTAATTGTGACTGGATGTAATCCTCCTGCCTCACAGTGTTTTCATGAACTTTTTCACAGCTACTGGGACCGTAGAGCACACATTTTAATATTTAATATTTAATATCATCTATTTAAAAGTTCACCAAGGAGATCAAACAGGACTCAATAGAGACCTGGCAAGGGCCAGCTGCTGGCTTCCTTTGCCATCTGAACCAGGTGACAACAGAAAATGCAGCTCCTCAAAATGTTTTAAAAAAAGGAAAAGCCAGGAACAAAACCAATTTGGAGATAATTAAGCTTTCTAAGTCAAAACTATAATTTTATTCTAATCACTTTCCCCTATGAAAACATTCACTTACACCCATCTATAATTAGCTTGCCAGAGATAATTGTGTGCTTTGACATAAATATGATGTAACATCCAGGGGGTGTGTTGTGTGACCCTTACTGCACCTCTGTAGACACTGGCCACTATTCTCAGAAAACTCATCAGTGTATTCCAGATACGAGGTAGCGAGGAGACCGCAGCTGGCGCCAAATCCAGGCAGAGTGCAGAAGGGCCCCTTCCCACTTAACTCCAACCCAGTACTCTCACCTCTGAGAGGACCATGGCTCCAGCAAGCAACAGGGACTTTGTCCTTCATACTGTACCCCAAGTAAAAGTTACCTTAATCTGCTTCTTTAAAGTAAACTTTGAGTTTTCTCATCCATAGAGAAAAATAAAATAAAAACCTAATAAAAAACAAACCGCTATCCTTTCTGTGGCTTTCCATTCTGGGGTGGACAGTATCATTGCCTATGGTGTATGCGGCCCTCTGACTGCCATGTCTGAATCCCCCACAATCCCCATGAAGCGTGCCCTATATGGGAACACACCTAACTCTGTAGTCACAGGACCCAGTATTGTCCAGACCCTTCCCGGTACCATCCATGCCCCCACAGGCACTCTTTATCACCATGACGAGGGAAGCCTCATTCTTCTGGAGAAACATGACCCAGCAGTCGCCACCTCACAGAAAGAAACACTTTCTGCACTGCTATGAGCTTCGGTTCCCTCTGGTACCTCTTGGCTCCCACCTCAGCCATTCTGTTACCCTGTAGGCAACCAACACTGCAGTCCTGTGCCCACCTGCTCTCTGCTGGTCCCATACAGCTCCCCCTTCACTGCCTGGCATAAAACCACTAAGGTTTAAAACCTTGACCTCATCACATGGCCCCAGAGTCCTGGTTCCTTTGTCTACTCTGTTTCTTCTTGGGATCTGCAGAAGGTGAGCTTCATGCTACAGGAGGATCATATTACTTTGCTCAAGGCTGGGTACAGGTTCCTGCAGCCAGTCAGTATTGTCTGGACAGAAATGTTCACAACCTCAAAGCTAAGGATGTCGTCAGATAGCATCTGAAACTCATAGAGAGTTCCCTGCTTTGCTTAACCTGCTTGATGGGACCCCTGTGTGTCTGTGTTTGAAAACTGCCTTGATTTATACTGTCCTTTTGTTCTGTTACCATAAAAAACATTAGCAAGCTGTTACCGCTTTGAGACGCGGCATTTGTGGCAAGCTGAATGTGTGTTCCTGGGCCATCATCACTCATAGCTGGCTCTACAATAAACAATCTCTCGCTCCCCCTGAGGTGAGAGCTATGTTTTGTATCAACACAACATTCAGCATACAATAACGCGGCAGTTTTGTTGCAGAGATAAATCTGCATGTCATTATTTCAGGGTTACGGCAGGCATGCAGCCATTTATGAACCCTGAATCAAGTTCAAATGCAGGCATGCTGATTGTGAGATCCCTGTCTCACTTCACAGCACATTCCTTACTGCGAGGACATAACAGCTCTGATCACACTGCTAAGCATTTCACAGGATAAATTTTTTTTCTATCTTATGTGTGTGGCATACATGTATGTATGTGTGCATATTAGCGTGTGCGTGGGCACACATATGTGTACGTGTGGATATAGAGGTCAGCTTTGGGTGCTGTTCCTCAGTTGTTTTGTTCCACCTCTCTTTGAGACAGGGTCAGTCATTGGCTTGGAACCTACCAATTAGGCTAGAATATAGTAAGACCCCATACCACTCAAGGAAAAATTTGGGCATGGTGGCATGTGCTTGTAATCCCGGCACCTGGGAGAAAGAGATCGGTGGCTTGCTAGAGCTTACTAGACAGCCAGACTAAACTACTTGGAGAGCCACAGGTTCCAACAAGAGACCCTGTCACAAAAGGAAAACAACAACAAAAAAACCAATATAGACAGTATCTAATGAATGACATCAGAGGTTGACCTCTGATCTCTGTACACACAAGCACAAATCATATGTACATTCAACATGTCATGGTCACCAAATGAAGTCGCTTCTATTTAGTGTAATAATAATATCACTGTTCCTGCAACTTAGTCGACTGTTCACCATGGTACAATATATAATACAAGGTTGTTTATATGTATAATTTCATTTAAGCATATGTTCATCTGTAACTGGGAATACGAAATCAAATGGAAATTGAATTTCTCAGCAAAAGCCAAACTTCTCATCAGTGACCTTGAGGTGATTGAAGGTTGTCCCAACAGTGGACTCACTATTGTCATTTAACTAATTACCATGAAAAACCCACTATGTAAGCACAAGACAAAAAACACAAGAGATATACAGCAAATAGAAAACTCCAATATATAGTCCAAACAATTTTATTATCATGTCATCATTTCACGTAACATCATATTATTAGTGTGCACGTGTGTGCTCACATACATGCTATGGTACATGTGTGGAAGTCAGAGGACAAGTTCGCTGAGTGAGTTCTCACCTTCTACATTTACTTGGGTTTTCCAAGGATCAAACTCAGGTCATCAGGGTGGTATGTTAGGCGCTTTTACCCATTGAGCCATTTCACTGGCCCACCCAAAATAATTTAAAGAGGTACTTTCATAGCAATAAGTCCCTATATTAAAAAGAAAAACTGTAAATATCTTTAAATTGTGCTTCAAGGATATAGACAAGGGACAAACTAAACTCGAAGTGTATATAAAGAATGAAGAACAGAAAGATTACAAGATGCACAAGGAAAAAAATAAACCTAAGAATCAATTTTTAGTTTCCTTTGAAATTAAATAAGCCTTTATCTAGACTGAGGAGAAAATGAAGGATATTCAAATATTGAGTGAAAAGTACAAATAGTGATAAGCTGATGATGAATGGAAGTGGAGACATTTCACGAGATGGCACAAAAAAAAAAAAAAACAAGCAGGGGCTAAGCACAAGCACGTATCAACAAGTTTGGTATCCTAGAGGAAGTAGACACATTTCTAGACTATCAGACCTTACCATGATTTAACTTGGAAGAAATAAATGGGAACCACAAACAGAACAATAGTAAAGAGAATATGACACACTAATCAAAAGCTCCCAACAAAGAAAAGTCCAGGAACAGATGACTTCTCAGCTCAATTCAATCAAACTTCAAAAGGTGAATTAATGTCAGCATTCCCAAACTTTCAAAACACAGGACCAGAAGGAATACTTCTAAACGTACTTTATGATTTTAGTCTCACCTCACACAAAAGACCAACAAAGACACCACAAGAAAACTACACATATTCTCAACACTGATGCATATGTTCTCCACAAAATATCAGCAAACTAAACTCAGTAATATATAAAAAATGGTATATGTTGTAGCCAAGTAGGATTCATCCTGGCATGCATGGATGGTTTAACAGATATAAAGTATTGTAATTCATCATACATAAAAGTTAACTTTTACTAGCATAAAAGTTAAAAGCCACAGGACCAACTCAGTCAATATAGAAAAGGTATCTGCTAATTCAACATCCTTCTTTGATTAAAAAACATTATTTTGGATATAGAAGGACATTTTCTCAACAATAGGAATATTTTAAAAGCCTCCCAC